CAAAGGTATGGAGCGTCCCAGATATCCCCAATCATAAAGGAGTGTAAACATGGACACAGTGGCAGCTAGAATAAGGACCCTACCTTATTTTCCAACTTGCTATGGCATCATTCAGACTCTCCCTGCCCTCAGCTTCTGGTTTTCCTCTTTGTCCCAGTGTTTCCTCCCACTAGGAGCCCTGGCAAAGGGCTGCAACAGCCACAGTCAGTTGGCCAACTGGAATGTGGCTCTGGGTCAATAGTTCTGGAGCAACTACAGGACACTTGCCTTTTGGATCTTATCCCAGCCACCTCTTGCCATGCTAGGGAGCAGAGCATGCACATAGTAAAGCTGGTCAAGGAAGCAGAGTATGGGAATGATCAGGGAGGTGTCTGGAGTCAGGGGGAGGGTAGCTGAAGCAGATGCCCCTTTGCACTTCCTGCTATTCTCTCCATTTCCTATGGCCCAGAATTTGATGAGGGTGGAGGGAATCATGCCAAGTCAGCAGTCCACTTTGGTCCCCCTCCATGAACCACACAACGGAAATCAGGGGCCTCCCTCAAGTCTGTGACTTCCCCTTTCTGTGGGGTGTTTAACTCCTAACCCAGGATGTCAGTCTTCCCTCTGATTATCTCTATCAGACACTGGTCCTCTTGATGCTCAGAAACCTGAATTCTCATATAGGTGAGAGGAGTGGTGGAATTTATATGATGTTTTGCAGAATTAGTGACCAAGCTCCCATTCCTGATCCCCTCTGCTTTGAGGCATACAACCCCAACCTTTTTTTCTTTTGCTCCTACTCCCCTGGGACTAAGGCATACACCCTCTGCCCCCTTGGGGTGTTGGTCACAACAGGAAGTGGATTTTGCTAGAGACCAAAAAAAAAAAAAAAAAACGAGAACTCGGGGTGTCAGTGAAAGGAAGGAGCCTCAATTGCACAGAAAACATCCGGGGAGTGGATGCTGTGCCCAGGGCTGATATTCCCCCATCCCCAGAAGAGGGATTCGGCCTAATCTCATAGAGGGTCTCTAAGCACTCTGCTCCCTCAATATGAAGCTGCTGCTCCTAGCAACACGGGGAAAGGCAGAAGTTTGGAAGCAGAGCCACCGGGCCTTTGGGACAGGTGGGGGCAGCCCGACTGCCTGTGGGGTATTGGACAGGAGGCTTTCCATTGGTTAAGCCTCAGTCTAGGGAGGATCCCCTCCCAGCATCAGTCTCCTAGTACACAACCTCTTGGGGCCGGCCACCTGCTCCTTCTTCCTCCGCCCCTGCATCGCAGCCTGCACAGGAGAATCCATTGGTCGCACGACGACAGGCCTTGCTTTCTACAGGGGCCCAGACATGAGTCGCACACCGCCCCCCCACACACCCCATTATCCTCGAGGACCTAGGCGTGCGGCCCCGGATGGCTGCCCCCTAGGGACCCAGGGGTCCGGCCCGAGATTCTTTCCCCGTTGTTCTTGTCTGGGGACCATACTGGCACTTACGGCGAGCCGCCACCGGCCGTGCCCCGCCGCGTGGCCCCACCTCCCTTACCTGGTCCCGGGTTTCTCCCCCATGGTGCGCGCGCCCGCCGCCCGCCGGGTTCGCGGCTTGCTCGCAGCCTTCTCGCCCGCTGCCAGGTCCCAGCTCCTCCCCGCGCCACTGCGCACGCGCGCCCACGGCTCTTTCTCCTCTTCCCCCTCCCCTCAGGTCCTGGGGAACTAGGGCCAGATGCGTCAGCCGGATCGCGCGCGCCGCAGCGCTGCCTGCCCTCTCCACTCAGACTGGGCCGCCCCTGGGTCCCGCCCCACGCCTCAGCCCTCGGCCTCCCTGGGGGAGCCTTCTTGCGCGCGCTGTTTTACTCTCGCTCTTCCCGCCCATCTCTCCGCCCCTCCTCAATCCCTTAGAAACCGATTGGGCCCCTTTAAACGAAGGCACCAGCCTTCCCTGATACTAAGAGCCCACTGATTGGCTCTTGGCAGCCGGAGCCCTGCAGGGGTGCCCTCCCCTTTGTTTGCTTTCTCAGTGGCTGTGGAGGCGACGCGGGTGGCGGGGGAGGTGGGATGAGCTCAAACACAGTCTGCGAAGGAGGACTGGGTAATGCACACGTGGGTGAGCGGTTCTCAGTTGCGTGATGCTTGCTTTAGTGAGTGCCTCTCACCCCAGAGTTTAAAGCCTTTGGGCCGCCTTCCGGTTTTATTGTGGTGTCTCAGCTCCCTCTGGTGTACATACACGGTTCGTTTTTAAAATTTCTCCGACTTTCCACCTCCTCTACCAACCCTTCCCAGCTAACATCCACCCACTCATTCATCCATCGATACATCCATCCCTATTTTATGCTAGTTTCTATGGGGTACCCTGGCCCTTGTTTTCCTTGTATACTTGAGGACACACACAAACAGGTTTTATGATCCTATGGATGCTATAATAGAGGTATGACTCAGAAGACAACAACTAAAAGCGCTTGGCCAGCATGGGAGTGGAGAGAGTGAAGACTGTCCATAGGAAGGAAATTTGAAAGATGGGCAGATGTGGAGAAAGGGCATTCCAAAGAGGGAAAAAGTCAAGTCACATCCTCTTCTGAAGTCTTCACAGGGTTAGATGACAGGAAAGAGAAAGGGGAAAGACTGGAACACGTTGTTTGGTATAGTAGGTGAAGAAAGTGGACTGAGGTCTTTCCCTGGAAACACTTTATTCATTAATTATTATTATTTTAGCAAGAGGAGTGACATGAAGAGATTTCTGGGCAATCTGGAGGGTGGAAGGAGTTGGACAAGACTGCAGTACATAAACTAGTCAAAAGAAAATGATGATTGGTAGAGTGGAAGAGAGAAGAGGGCCATACTGGAGTCATTTCTTGAGTGAGATTGGACTTGAGGGAGAATAAAGGATGACTTATGGAGATAAAGTATTTCTCCTTTCATCTCTTTTCCTATTATCTCCTCAAATGAACTAAAAAATAAAAAATAAAAGGACAAATTGGTAGAAATGCCTTGCAATAATTTCCCATATCTACAAAGAATTTCTACAGAACCCGAATAGGTTAAGGACATGAAAGGCAATGAAGAAGAAATATAAATGTCTAGTAAACACGAAAAGTTATTCTATGAAAAGTTATTCTATTTCACTAATTAGATTTTTTCAACACCCAGATTGGCCTTTTATTTTTTTCTTTTTTTGTACTGGGGCATGAACCCAGAGGTAGTTTACCACTGAACTACACCTCAGCCCTTTTTATTTTTATTTTAAGAGGGTCTCACTAAGTCACTTAGTCTGGCCTCAAACTTGGGATCCCCTGTCTCAGTGCCTCTTGAATAGCTGAGAGTTCAGGTGAGCAACATCGCTCCTGGCATTTTTTTCTTTTTTTTGAGACAGAGTCTCTCTATGTTGCCAAAGTTGGTCTCAGACCCTTGAGCTCAGCCAGGCATGGTGGTGCATGCCTGTAATCCCAGCTATTGGTGAGGCTGAGGCAGGAGGATCATAAATTCAAGGCCAGCCTGGGCAACTTAATGAGACTCTCTCAAAAATGAAAAATAATGAAAAAGGGATGTAGCTCGGTGGAAAGTGCTCTGAGTTCAATCCCAGTACTGCCAACAAACAAAACAATAACAACAGCAAAACAAAAACTCCTGGGCTCAACGTATCTCCCGAGAGACAGTATTTCATTGTCATCACTTTTGTTTTTTGTTTTGTGCAGTGCTGGAGATCCAAGGACCTACCAACTGAGCTACATCTTCAGCATCTCGATTGAAAGCCATAGAAGGGCTTTAAGGTGGAAGTGACAAAAGCTTATATACATGGGAGCCTGGTGCAGTGGTGCACACCTATAATCCCATCAGTTCCAGAGGCTGAGGCAGGAGGATCTCGAGTTCAAAGTCAGCCTCAGCAACTTAGCAAGGTGCTAAGCAACTTAGTGAGACTGTCTCAAAATAAAAAAATAAAAAGGACTGGGGATGTGGCTCAGTGGTTAAACTCCCTGAGTTCAATCCCTAGTAGCAAACACAACATCCCCCCCACCCCCCCACACACAAAGAACCACTAAAACCCAAAAAACCAAAATCCTCTGGTTATTGTGTGGAGAGACTAGAAAGCAAAAGGGTGGCAGAAAACAATGAATAAACCTTTGTAAGAGCTTATAAGAAGCCAGGTGAGGGAGGATGGTAAGTTAGATCAGAGTGACACCGGAGATGGAGAAATGAAAAAAATTAGCCCTCTTGGGTTAATGTATTTCGGAAGCAGAATATCAGGATTTGAAGAATTGGATAGAGGTCTAGCAGAAAAAAGGATGACTCTTGTATTTGAATCTAACCATCACTCAATACAGAATGAGGTATTGGGGTGTTCACTTACAATGTATTGGTGAAAAATTGGTGCAGGGGCTGGGGATGTGGCTCTAGCGGTAGCGCGCTCGCCTGGGATGCGTGAGGCTGGGTTCGATCCTCAGCACCACATACCAACAAAGATGTTGTGTCCGCCAAAAACCAATAAATAAATAAATATTAAAAAAAAATCTCTCTCTCTCTCACACACACACACACTCTTTAAAAAAAAGATATTTGTTCACATGACATATTAAAAAAATTGGTGCAAAAATTCATCAATGGAACTATTAGATCATAGCACGTGTATTTCATTCATCCTACACAGCTAAAAAACGCTCACGATATATGAATTTAAAAAGCCAAGTGCACACCCTCTTGTTGTAAAATAAACTATTCATTTATGTATTTGTGCATGAATTAATACTATACACACGTTACTGGGGGAGTGCCTTTGGAAAAGAGAAGGTTTTCTTTATAATTGATGCCCTCCATATAGTTTTAATTTGTTTTTCAAAGGCACGTATATTATATAATTTCCGGACTTGAGGTTAAAAATGTGATTTCAGACAAGCGGTTTCTTAAATAGGTATTACCAAATCCCAGAACGAAGGTGTCTAAAACTGTTTAAAGGAAAATTTTCGGATTTCAGCGCCTTTTGTCCGGACCACGTGTTTACTAAGGACCACAAGCCCGCCTCCGTCCCGCCCCGGGCGGGCCTTATAGGCCATCCCCGAACACCGGAGATGCTACACTCCCGCTGCCTCAGCCCCCGGGGCCCCTCCACCCCGCGCATGCTCCCACTCAGCCTGAGCCCGGGAGTCCACCTCCATTCAGCCAGTACGCAGGATCACAACCCCCTCCGTAAGACCCCTTCTCAAGACGCGTCCGTCGCGGTGTGTTTGCGTCATCGCGCCACGCCACCAGTAGAGCCCGGGGAAGATGGCGGCAGCCGTTCTTAGTGGGCCCTCAGCGGGCTCCCCGGCTGGGGTTCCCGGGGGAACCGGGGGTCTCTCGGCGATGAACTCGGGCCCGCGTCTTCGTCTGCTGCTGCTGGAGAGCGTTTCCGGTTTGCTGCAGCCGCGAACGGGGTCTACCATTGCTCCTGTGCATCCCCCTGTCTGTTCGGTTCCACATTTGCCCGGGCTCATGTGCCTATTGCGGTTGCATGGGACGGTGGGCGGGGCCCAGGTAAGTCTGAGCTCGCGTGCTCGCGGCTCTGTGGGAAGGTTGGCGAGGCACCCGAGGGCCAGGATTACGCTGCACCGAAGCTGCAGTAGGGAGGTTGAGGGGAGAACGGCAGAAAGCGAATCCAGCCATCATTTCAGACGAGATTCACGTTTTTCCCCTTTATCTGCCGTTTCTCTAGGGGAAAAATTAGGCCTCATTTTTCTGTTGCTAGGCTATTGGTAGGCACTCCGGAATGGAGTCAGTTCCAGACCTGGTCACTGAATAATTGAATGATCTCCAGTCCCGTTTTCTTATGGAGATACCTGTTTTGGGGATTGTTTCCACAGAGTTAACGGACATATCTAACGCATAAATATTTACGTGGTGTTACTGAAAGCCGAAGACTGTACTAGGCTCTCCATTTACAGACATGATGGCGATGAGCAATGCGCAATGAAACGCGATGAAAATTGAATCCTAGCAGGGAACCTCTAACCTAATCCGGAGAATTGTCGAGATTTTCCAAGGGAACTGGAATGTAAAATGAGACCTTAAGGATGAGTAGGGGTTGGGTAAGGAAAGAAAATGGGAGAGAGTTTTTAGAGGAAAACTCATGTGGGAAGGCCCTGGGGTAGGAAAAAACTGAAAAGGTTATTGTCCAGAGGCTCAGAGGTGGAGGGAAAGCGTGAGTAGAGAGTCAAGTGTCATATTGAATACTTTATTCCTCACACACCTTACCATAAGCACTCTATCAAATCCTGCTGCTTCCCCATAGATTTTCATTCATCAAATATTTATTGGGTATGGGTTATATGTAACATACTGTTCTTATCTCTAGGTAGATAAATTAGACATGAGTCTTTCCCTAAGAATTTCTAGTTTAGTTAAGAACAGAAATGAAGGTAAGTAAAAGGACCTAGAACTTGAGAAGAGAGATACATTGTTTGATCAACCCATTTAAGCTTAATCACCGACTTGACTTTCCCATGGTACCAAAAATTTAACAATTTCAAAATGGTACTACCCCAGGACAGTGCACAATTTCTAGTTCAGATTAAAGCAAAATCTTCTCCTTGTCTTCTTACTACCTGAACAGTAGTTGGAGTGAACTTTCTTGCTTGTTTTTTCTTTTTTGCTGTACTGGGAATTGAATCCAGGATCTAACACATTAGTAGGCAAGCACTGAGTTATATCCCATGCCATTTCTTTTTGGGTACCCGGGATTGAACTTAGGGACACTTGACCACTGGGCCACATCCTCAGCCTTGTTTTGTATTTTATTTAGAGACAGGATCTCACTGAATTGCTTAGCACCTCACTTTGCTGAGGCTGGCTTTGAACTCTCCATCCTCCTGCCTCAGCCTCCTAAGTTGCTGGGATTACAAGTGTGTGCCTCTGTACCCGGCTTAAATTTTATTTTGAGGCTGGTCTCAGTAAGTTGCCTGCCAGACTGGCCTCAAACCTGCCATTCTGAGTAGGAGGAATTATAGTATGGATCACCATGCCCAGCAATGAGTGAGCTTTCTAAAGTAAGTTCTGTTTCTGTTTGCTGCCTTTAAAAATCCTTCAGTACCTGGGCTGGCTGGCTTTCTTTCTTTCTTTCTTTCTTTTTTTTTTTTTTTTTTTAAATTTCATTTCAGGGCCTTTATTCTTCTCTTGAAATCCCTCCGTGAGCTGCCTTGGTTCTTTCCTCAAATCTTTTCAGTTCTTTGCTTGTTCCTAACCACCTATGATTAAGAGATGTTTATTACATTGTTTCTTTCATTAATTAGTATATTCAACCTCTCTTCTCTGCAGGAGCACAGCTAGGCTTAGATTTGTTTTATTTTTGTTTATAACTGAAAGAAAAATCTTATGGAAATATTCAGACATACACAGATAATTTTTCTAATCATTCCACCCTGAGCTGTCTCTATCACCCAAATTTAACAGTGAATATCTTAGCAGTTTCATTCCTTCTCAGCTCTGCCCCCTCCCAAGCAAATCCCAGATATTTCTCCTGTAACTATATGCTCTTTGAAGGACAGTGGTTTTTCTTTTCTGCCTTGTATCCCTAGGGCTTAGTAGTGTTCTGTTCTAGCCAGTAGCTAAATATCAGTAAGATTACAGCATTCTTCTGCTTGAAACTCTACAGTAACTTACCATTGCATGAGACTGTACATGGTATGTTTACCTCTTGACTCATCTCATAGGACACTCTGCTTGTCTTAATTGTGTTCTAGCCACCGAGGCTTATCTAACTTCTAGGACACACAGAGGCTATTGCTTCTTCTTCTTCTTCTTCTTATTATTATTATTATTATTTTTACTCTTTGCTGGGAAATTCCTGGCAAAGTGATCTTTTTTAAACTTAGATCTCAAATGTCACCATTTCAGAGGAATCTTTCCTGACCACTGTTGTAAAGTAGCCCCTTTTATTTCAGTCATTCTCTTTCATTTTATCCTATTTGTTTCTTTCCTAGCATTTACCACTATTTGAAAGAAGTAAATTTATCAACTTATCATTTTCTAAGTTTTCTCTTCCCTTCATACCCAGTTTAAATTTGGTGATCCATTGTGATCAATTCCTTTGCTCTTGTCTTGCATTTACTTGGTAAGTGTTAAATCCAATTCTAACTTATTTTGTTCCTGCATCTTCACAACTCAGTATAACTAGAGAAAACCATGAGTCCTTGCTTTATGATTCCACTTTAATTTCATGGCCATTGTCCTCAGAAGTGGACTTTTAGTGTTGCCCAGCAAACCTGTTACAGTTCCACTTTCCTAGACAACTGTTTTGTACCTTCTTCAAACCTCTCCTAATATTTTTTTGTTTTTTTCCTACTAATTTTCTACATTTTCACTCTTTTTTTTTTTTTAACTAAAAACATTTTATTTTATTTTATTTTATTTTATTGGTTGTTCACAACATTACAAAGCTCTTGACATATCATATTTCATACATTAGATTGAAGTGGGCTATGAACTCCCAATTTTTACCCCAAATGCACATTGCAGAATCACGTCGGTTACACATCCACACCTTTCATTAAATTTTTAAAAAATTTATAGTCTTACTAAGTTGCCCAGTTTGGCTGCAAATTTGCAATCATCTTGCCTCAGCTTCCTAAGTAGCTGGGATTACAGGTGTGTACCACCACACCTGGCCCAATACTCTTTAAAAAGGTAAAAATCAACTTGATGGTAGTGGCTTCTGTCCTTAATTCCAGGAATTCAGGAGTCTGAGGTAGGAGGATTGCAAGTTTGAGGCCAAACTGGACAACTTGGTGAGACCCTATCTCAAAATCAAAAGGATTAGAGATGTATTTCAATGTGGTAAAGTGCCCTTGGGTTTAGTCTCTAGTACTAAAAAGAAAAACAAAACAGTACAGGATAGTTGTTTTATAAGGTGCCCTTCCATTTGGTTTTTCTGGGTTTTCCTTATGTTGAGATTGTGCATTTCTGCAGCAGGAGTTCTGCAGAAGTTATGGTGTGTCATTCTTGGAGCATCCACATCAGGAGGCATATACTATTGTTTTTCCATGTTGATATATTAATTTTCATCTCTGGGATAAGATGTATTTTCTAGGTTTCTCAACTATAAACTTATGATTTTTCTATTTGTAATTAATAGATATCTTGGGAGATGATTTAAATGTCCTGTGTCTTAACCTTTCATCTGTTTTGCCATCCATTGAAGTTCCTTCCCAGAATAGATTATTACTATAATGATTATTTCATTGGGCTAATCTGTTCAGCCACTTTGTCAAAACACTTTTTTGGGGTGATCTGGTAACTCTTGAAGGTAATCCTAGTGACCATTAAGAGAGTAAGTTCATGGGTCAAATTTGAGTCCTTATGTCACTTGACCCATCTATATCATTCAGTATAGTTCCTTCCTTTGTTTTGGGGGGAGTACCAGGGATTGAACCTGGGTATACTTAGCCACTGAGCCACATCCTTAGCCCTTTTTTATTTTTTATTTTGAGACAGGGTCTTGAAATTGCTGATGCTGGCTTTGAACTTGGGATCCTCTTACCTCTCTCATCCTCCCCAGCTGCTGGGATTATAGGTGTGTGCCACCATGTGTCTGAATCCTTCCTTCTTAAAAGACTTTCTTTATTTGGCTTCTGGGACAGCACTCTCTCAATTCTCCTCCTACCACACTGTTTACTCCTTCCCAGTCTTTTCCAGTAAAGACTAGTTCTTCCTTATTTCTTTGACCTCTATAAAGGTTAAAGTTCCCAGGAACCCAATCCTCACATTGCTTCTTTGCTTTATTTATTCCATTTATTTATTTCTGCTTTATTTATTCCGTTGGTGAACTGATCTAATGTCATGACCAAAAACTCCCAAATTCACATCTTAACCAGGAATTCTTGTAACTCTAGACTTGTCTACCCAGTGCCTGTTTGGCGTTTCCATTTTGATGCTAAATAAATACCACAGATTTAACATACCTGAAACTGAATTCCTGATTCTTACCTCCAAGACCTACTTCTCCTTAATCATTCCCCTTAGTAAATGGCACCTCTGTCTAATTATCAAGTGATAAACTTTGAGGTTATCTTTGACTTCTCTCAGTATCTCCCATCCATATCCCATATGCATATTCATATCAAATTCCATTAGCTTTACCTTCAGAATTTAATTGGATTTTAACAGTTTTTTATCCACACTCTTACCAGGTTACAAAGAGATAATACTGGGATCAAACCGGGGCCTCATACATGCTACGCAAGAGCACTACCACTAAGCTACATCCCAGTCATTTTTATTTTTTTTTATTTTGAGACTGTCTCACCAAGTTTTGCAGGTTGGCCTTGTATTTGTGATCTTCCTGCTTTAACTTCTGGAGTAGCTTATAGGTTATAGTATGCACCAGTATAATCTGGTATGTCTGTCTTTGTTTGTTTACTTATTTTAACCATAAGTCAGATAATGTCACTTCTCTGCTTAATTCTCTCCTTTAAAAAAAAAGTTTTTATTGAAATGTGATTCATATACTGTATAGTTTACTCATTTAAAAGGTACAATAGGTTTTTTTGTTTGTGTGTGTGTGTGTGTGTGTGTGTGTGTGTGTGTGTGCTGGGAATTGAACTCAGGGCCTTGTGCATGCCAGGCAGGCCCTCTTCCAACTGAGCTATATCCCCAGCCCCAATACAATGTTTTTGTTTTTGTTTTTTTGTATTTGCAGAGTTGTGCAACCATCACTGTGTTTTGAACCTTTTCATCACTCTATATAGGAACGTTGTACCCATTGATAGTCCCTATTTCCCATCAGCCCTCTCTGACTGCTTCCAGCCATAGGTGACCATTAGTCTACTTCTATAATTTTTTTTTTTTGTGTGTGTGTGTGTGTGTGGTCACTGGTACTGAGGATTGAACCCAGGGACACTCTCCTGCTGAGCTACATCCCAGCCCTTTTTAATTTTTGGACAGGGCCTTGTGAAATTGATGGATATTTGAATTATTTCTACTTTTTCATTATTAGAATAATACTGTTTTGAACTATATACAAGTTATTGTGAGCACATGTTTTCATTTTATCTAATATTTTAGTTAATTTTGTGCATAAAACAACCTAGGAGTGGAATTTCTGGATCATGTATTCATTCTGCATATAACCCCATTTTTGTTGTTATTGTTGTTGTTCTGGGGATTGAACCCAGGGATACTCTATCACTGTACCACTGAGCTACATTTCCAGCCTTTTTATTTTTTCTTTTGAGACAAGATCTCATTAAGTTGTTGAGGCTAACCTTGGCTTCGTGATCCTCCTATCTCAGCCTCCCAAATATCTAGGATTACTCAGCACCTGGCTTATGCATATTGTTTTGAGGAACTGCCAGATTGTTTTTTCCAAAATGACCATCTTGCATTTTTATCAGTAGCATATGAGGGTGTGTCTTGTTCTCATTTCTCTTTAGATCTCTGCCTACACAGACTTTCAAGAGAGGACTTTTGTGCCCATTTTACTACTTAAGTACTATCTCCCTTCCTACTCAGAGCACTCCTCTCCTTCTTTACTCTGCTTTATTCTTTCTTAAAACATTTAGCACCATGTGACATATATGTACTGGAACATTTTATTGTTATTATTTTTGGTACTGGAGATTGAACCTGGGGTGCTTTACCACTAAGCTACATCCCCAGTTCTTTTTATTTTGAGACAGGGTCTTGCTAAATTGCTGAGGCTGGTCTTAAACCTGGTTCTTCCTGCCTCAGCCTCCTACTTTGTGCTGGCATTATAAGTGTGTGCCACTGCAGCCAGCTTATGTAATATTTTAGTTTTTGTGCATAAAACAAAGTTTGGGTACATTGAACTGTAAAGAAGTGAAGCTGATGCTCTCAGTCACCCATGTGAACAATCTGTGGTTGTTTGGTATCACCATCATTTGTGGCAATGAATTTATATGCTAAGCAATCATTTCTTATACTTATTAATACTTAAGTACTTTACAGTGAAAAATATGATATGACACACCATTAATACAGTAAATAATAAGGAAGCAGCACAAAAACATCATCAAAATCCCTGCATTGAGTCAGGTGTGGCGTCACATGCCTGTAATCCCAGCAGCTCAGGAAGCTGAGGCAGGAGTATCACAAGTTCAAAGCCAGCCTCAGCGAGGCACTGAGCAACTCAGTGAAACCCTGTCTCTAAATAAAATACAAAAAAGGGTTGGGAATGTGGCTCAGTGGTTGAGTGCCCTGGAGTTCAATCCCTGGTACCCACAGGAAAAAAGAAAGCAAGAAAAGCCCTGCATCAGTTATTGAATACCAGTATCTGCAAATAATGGCACCTACATGTGTTTTCATTGAAAGGTTACTGTGTACCTTTTTTTTTTTTTTTAAGTGAAAACAAACGTGTGAAACAGCTGCAAGACTAGGAAGTGGGTCCTGAAGGAATGAGAATGCATTTTTTTGGATGACTTTTTGAAATGTTTCCTCTAGTCATCTGCCCCATTAACATTTTTTGTTTTAGAAGTCTCTCTTTGATTTTACAAATGGACATGATTTCTTATTGAGTTACGAATGCATATTGCTTTATTCCTTCAGTAAATCCTTCACACATTTTCACCATGTCATCTGTAGGTACATTTTCCCCAATATTAACATCATCTTGGGGCTGGGGATGTGGCTCAAGTGGTAGCATGCTCGCCTGGCATGCGTGTGGCACGGGTTCGATCCTCAGCACCACATACAAACAAAGATGTTGAGTCTGCCGAAAACTAAAAAATAAATATTAAAAAAAAAGAAAAAAAACCATCATCTTCATCATCACTGTATCATGAACACCTATGTGTGCTGTAAGTAAATACACATGCTTTTTTCTTATTACGGTTACCTATAGGGGTATCTGCTTTTTTTAAATTTTCAACAATATCTTTACATTAGAGAGCAGAGAATAAGCAGCAAAATAAAACACTGAGTATTGCATGTAATCCATGTGGGGCATTGTGAGGAACCTGTCATTGGCTGGTCTGGCCTTCATGCCTCCATTTTACAACCTTTTGTGGGTAGGCTTATGTGGGGGAAATTTGAGCTGTGGGAAAGAGAATCACAGCTGAAGGGGGCTGAGCGGGTCTCTTTTTTTCCCTTGGGGGCACTGCATAAGCTACTGTGTACCTGTTTTAACTGGCCCCATCACATATGGTCAGGTGTGGAATTTTCCACTTGTGTCATGCCAGCACTCAAAATGTTTTGGATTTTTAGATATTTGAGTTAGGAATGCTCAACCTGTTTTTATTTCATTAGTTCTTTATTTTCTGTCTCTAACTAGAAAGTAAACTATCCAGCATCTAAGACAGTGTCACATTTGAATAAACATTTATTGAGCTATATGTTCCTTCACCTGACCCAGTACATGATGTGTGTTCAGAAAGATGCATGATGTGTGTTCAGAGAATGAGTGATGGTGAGCATGGTGGCACATTCCTGTAATCCCAGCAACTCGAAAGGCTGAGGTAGGAGGATTGTAAATTCAAAGCCAGCCTCAGCAATTTAGGGAGACCTTGTCTCAAAAAAAATAAAAATAAAAAGGGCTGGGGATGCAGCTCAGTGGTAATGTACCTCTGGATTTAATACCCAGTATGAAGAAAAACAGAAACAATGAGTATTATATACCACTAGGAAGATACAGGTGCCATGAGGGGGGGTCTGGTCCAGTAGAGAAGTTGTCTGTGGGAGGGCCAATGAGGAAACTTCTTTCATGGGCTTCCACAGTATGAGAGGAAGGGGAGCCTTGGAAGGAAGACTCTGGCTGAGTAGATCTGTGATGTCCTCTTTACAGCTGTATGGAAATCAGGAACAGGAGAGGATTTGCTTGGGTATGAAGGCAGAACGATGGGTAATGAGTTCAGTGTCCCTTCAGCTATGGTTTCTGGATATCTCTATGCTGAGTGCTTTCCAGGGATCCAAGGTGAACCTGACCCATTGTTGAAGACTAATGGAGGGATGAGTTTGGCTCTTCTTGGATAGCTCTGATTTGTTGGGTGTGGTATGGTGGAAGGGATCAGGCAAATTAGAAGTTGAGGAAGAGCTCAGAGGCTGATATGAGTGTTACCCACAAGAGAAGAGGACACAGGTGAAAGGCCTCTAGAGGGATGATCTTTTGGCCTCAAAGGAACTGTAACTTCAGAAAGGATTTTGGAAGTGCTGGGGCAGGAAAAGCTTGGAGAATTCTGCTTGTGTTTAATGTCCTATTACCTAACTTCTTTTTTCTAGAATCTTTCAGCCCTTGGAGCATTGGTGAGTCTCAGTAATGCACGTCTAGGTTCCATCAAAACTCGGTAAGTCTTTTAACACTTTTTTCTCCCTTTTGATATTAAGAATTGAAGCCAGGGGTGCTAAACCACTGAGCCATATCCTCAGCCCTTTTTTATTTTGAGACAGCTTAGGGTATCACTAAATTGCAGAGGCTAGCTTTGAACTCATCTTCCTGCCTCAGCCTCCTGAGTGGCACATGCCTCGCTCTTTGGCCTTTTTGATATTTTGTTTTGAGACAGGGTCTTGCTAAATTGCTCAGGGCTTTACTAAATTGCTGAGGCTGACCTTGACTTTGAGATCCTCCTGCCTCAGCCTCCCAAGTTGCCGGGTTTATAGGTGTGTGGACAACCACACCTGGCTTACCCCTCCTCCTCTCCAGGGGTATGTTCCCTTAGGGAGTGAACTGTATATACACCTGTCCATCTATTATCACCACCCTGTGGATTCAAAAGATTTCTCCATTTCCAGAAGGGTGGGAAGTTTCTTTCTGATTGTGAACTCTCTTGAGTTGAATCTGTCCTTTCCAGTTCCCAAGTTTCTATTCTTTACCTGGGCCTCCTTTCTTTCCTTGCTGGCCCCACCTTACCTTAGGTCCTCCAAGCATTTCAGGAGGTGGAAAGCACAATGGATCTGGGGTTGAAGTCTTTTAGAGCCCTTGAGAATAAAAGTGCAGTCAATAGCCCCCACCCACTGTGTCACACCCTTCTTGCTTATAAGGTTCGAGGGCCTATGTCTGCTGTCCCTGCTGGTGGGAGAGAGCCCTACAGAGATGTTCCAGCAGCACTGTGTGTCCTGGCTTCGTAGCATTCAGCAGGTGTTGCAGGTAAGGATTCAGCTACCTACTGCCCTCTCCTTTTCCCACCTGATCCTTCTCCTGGGTCTGGTATTTGTGTGTGTGTGTGTGTGTGTGTGTGTGTGTGTGTGTGTGTGCGCGCGCGCGCCTGGGACATTTAGTTCTGAGGACAGAATGATTAGAGAAGCAATTTCCTGAAAATAGGGAGATTAAACTTGAAATAGAAACATCCTTTCAAACTTTTTTTTTGAAATTTTTATCTGCTGGCTTATTTTAATTCATCTGATCTATCACACACTGTAACCTTTGACAGCTTCACTCCTTAGTTAGCTTTTGTAATGAATGTCATCGCTAAATCGCTAATATTCCTTTTTCTGGGTTTGTTTTGGTCTACTCCTTTGTGTCCCCCCCCTTTTTTTTTTAGTACTGGAGATTGAATCCAGAGGGGTTTAACCACTGAGCCACATCCCCAGCCCTTTTTTATATTTTATTTAGAGACAGGGTCTCACTGAGTTTCTTAGTGCCTTGCTGTTGCTGAGGCTGGCTTTGAATCCATGATCCTCCTGCCTTAGCCTCCCGAGATGCTGGGACTACAGGTGTGCACCACTGCTCCTGGCTTCCTTTGTTCCTCTTTTAATTTCTCTTCTCTCCTTTTTCATGCTTTGATGATGTCTATACTTAGTTTTACAGCAAACTGTGTGCTAAGCTCTGGGCAGACAGTGGTAAGGTATACTTGGACTCTTCTTTCAAGGTGCCTAGAGTCTAATACAGAGGTTGGGAAATTTTCTCAATGAAGTAAGTGTTTGCAGATAGTAAATGTTTTAGGCTGGTGAACCACATGTTTCTGTCATCTGTTGTTTGTTTTCCGTCACTTTAAAAATGTGAAAACCATTTTTAGCTTGTGAGCCATGAAGAAGCAGGCACCCACAGACCCTAGTTTGCTATTTTCTGTTCTAATGGAAAACACTTTAACTGAATAATGATACAGTTGAATGTGACATGATAAACTGAGGTAGGTGCTATGGAGGTAGAATCTGATCCCAACTGCAGAGGTAGGGATTGGGGTCAGAGGTTTAGGAAGGGCTTTCTTGAACTGATCAGTAGTAGTTAATTGGGCTGAAAAAATGTTGTAAGAGTGCATAAACCCTGACAGAAGAGAAGTTGCCATTTGAAGAATTGAAAGCATGCTGGTGTGGCTGGAGTTGATGAGACACAAATGGGAAGATAGATTGTGACCAAAATATGTATGGACTTGATAGTCACATTAAGGATTTTTATTTTTATTCTGAGAGCAGTGGAATTCATCCAAAGTTTTAAGTTGATATCTTAGTATACCAAATACTAACAGACAAAATAACAAAATACTGTAGATAGAGATTTATCTGGGTCACAGTTCTGGAAGCTGGGAAGTGCAGGATTGAGAGGTAGCATTTAGTGAGGGCAACATAACATGGTTGGTGACATCACATGGGAGGTTGGATGTGGGGTTGTGGGCATGAGTGTGCATGCCCAGAACTTGCTTTTATAATAAACCCCATCCTGTGATAATGACATTAACCCATTTTACCCTCATAACTTAATCCCACCTAAAGGTCTTACCTTCCTACGTTATTGTGTTCAAAAGTTTCCAGCACATGAATTTTGGAGAACATTAAAACCATAGCAGTGGCAGTGAGGAAATAGTGGTAACGGTGATGGTCAAGTTTTTATTTAAAAATAGCACCCTGGCCTGCTGTGTGGAGAAAGGATTAGAAAGGAGAAAATGAAAACAGGATACCATGTGGAAGACTACTGAAGTAATCTAGAACATTTGCAGTAGCTTGAATGAGGGTGGTGGCAGTAGAATTAACGAGAAATAGATATATAGAGAGAGATACAGAGGCAAAACAGGGAGTCCTGATGATTGATTAGCATTAGGGAGAAGACATGCCCAGAATGACTCATGGACTTGAGAACATTGGAAGACAGCCAGGTTCAGAAGGAATGGGAGAAAACACCATAGATGTGTCCTTGGGCGTTATATAGAATCCTTCTTCGTAAGCATCTCATCTGTCATGACTGGAAGTGTCTCCATATAGCCTTGAAGGGTTCAGAGGGTTGGGGCTTTAGTTGTTTTTTTTTGGTACCAGGGATTGAACCCAGAGGTGCTTAACCCCTGAGTCACATCCCCAGCCCTTTTTTATATTTTATTTTGAGACAGGGTCTTGCTGAGTTGCTTAGGACCTCGATAAGTTGCTGAGGCTGGCTTTGAACTTTCCATTCTTCTGCCTCAACCTCCTGAGCCACTGGGATTATAGGTGTACGCCACCGCATCCAGCTAGTTGGTATGTTTCATAAGGGAAGGAGCATTCAATATTTAGATAGCAGTTAATATTGAGAATGAAATATCAAGATGAGTTTAGTACCAACTGAGTTTCAAGGCGTACCACAGGTAATGGTCAGGTAGAGGAGAATCAACAAAGGAGACCAAGATAACAGTGGAAAGGAGGTAACTAGGGTGGTAGCTTGGATGAAATCCAACAGAAGAGAGAGTAGCAAACAGGATTGTGGGTTGCATGGATTCCCAGGGAAGGACTCTTGAGGGAAGGGGCAAGAGTCATTTCTGTTAATACTCCTGTGAGATGGAACAAGACACGGATCTAAAATTGCTTATCATATTAGTAAGTCCAAAAGTTGTAAGATTGTAGTGAAAGTGTTTTTGCTGGAGCTATAGACACTGAAACCAGGCTAGCTTGGGGTGAAGATAAGTGGGAGAAGGAGAATGGAAGCAGAAGTAGGGAAAATAGGTGAGCCTTTCAAGATTTTAGCTCTAATGATAAGGGAGAGAAATTGGGCAGTTAATGGAATTTGACAAGTGGAACACTAGATGGGATCAAGGAAGAATAATATGTGTGTGTATGTGTAGTTTTGATTCATTTTTGTACTGCGAATTGAACCCTGAACCACTCTACTGCTGAGCTATATCCCCAGTCCTTTCTATTTTCATCTTTGGGTCAGGATCTCATTGAGTTGCTGAGGGCCTTGCTAAATTTCTGAAGCTGGACTTGAACTTGTGATCCTTCTGTCTTAACCTCCGGATTCTGGAATTAAGAGGTGTGTGCCACTGCACCCAGCTTGAGAAGTTTTGAAGTTGGGAGTGCTTGAGCATATGTAAATGTCAGTGGGTAGAATCCATTCGAGGGACAGAAGAAAGAGCTGGTTGATGTGTAAAGTTTTGAAAAGAAGGGATTGGGATAGTATTTTAAAACATAGTGGAGAATTTGTCCTTGGACAGGAGGAGGCAGGCAGGCTTTAGCAGAGGAGAAGGATGATAAGGGTTTCAGATTTGGGAACAGGAAACTAAGGTGGTTCCCATCTTTGGGCTTTAGTTTTCTAAGATGTAAGCAAGGCCATCTTGAGGTGGTAGTGGTGGGAGAAGTTGGGTTTGGAAGTTCAAGGAAAAGGTTTGAGTAGCCGAGGAAATTAGCCAATGCAGTAGGATTGCTGGACAGCGTTGAGAGCCTGTGATTGGTAGGCAGGCCCACCTCGTCTTACTTTCTTAAGAAGTATTCTTATTTATTTTGTTGGCTCATGGTCTCCCCTGGTGTAGAAGGAAATCTGTGTTAAATGCTTTGTCCTTAAATAGTGTTAATTTTCTTTCTAAATCCAAAGGTTGTCTTTTTTTTTGGAAGAGTAGTATGGGAGATTCAAACAACTCTTTGTTACTGAGGACTGAACCCAAAGGAACTTGAGCCACATCCTCAACCCTTTTTTAATTTTGAGACAGGGTCTTGCTAAGTTGCTAAGGCTGGCCTTAAATTTGTGATCCTCCTGCCTCAGCCCTGCAAGTTGCTGGGATTACAGGTGTGTGCCACCAGCCCAGCTCAAACAACTCTTGAAACCTTCAGGTGATTGGATCTTGAGGAGTGGCTTCCTTACCTTTTTCCCTTCCTAACAGATATTCCTGGGATTCCAGAAACTTTTAATATTAAAATATTAAGCACAAGTTCTTTCAGAAGACAAATATGTTCTTTTTGGATCTGTATATTCTCTTTTTCCTTACAGTAGTAGATTTGATGATACTATTGACACTGACTGTGATGTTTCTCAAAAGCCCTATGTTGTTATACCTCCTGTTCCTCCTCTTGGTGACAGTGGAGGTGAGGTTGGCAGCATGGGTGTTGTTGCTTTTAGTCCCAGGACCCTCCACCCACCATGGAGTTGGCTGTGGCTGTCCTGAGGGACCTACTCCGATATGCAGCCCAACTTCCTACACTGTTTCGGGACATCTCCATCAACCACCTTCCTGGACTTCTCACTTCCCTGCTGGGCCTTAGACCAGAGGTGAGACACTTCCCCACTGCTTTACCCCTAGGAGTCTTTGCCCTTATTTACACTGTTTGGATTAAAGAATGTGGTGAGAAGTAATTAAGGAATAGGATGAAGAAGTGGGATGGGGGAGGAGCAAGAAAAAAGTGAGTGTGTAGAGAAAGGACCTTCTAGGGTAGTAGAGTGCAGTGGGTTGGGGGATGTACATGGGGCCATTGGGCTCTTGATCTCTTCCTTCTTCCTGACTTTCTGTTTTTCCTACAGTGTGAGCAGTCAGCATTAGAAGGAATGAAGGCTTGTATGACCTATTTCCCTCGGGCTTGTGGTTCTCTCAAAGTGAGTATTCATGGAATCTCTTCTCCCCACCAATATAAACCTTGATAGCACTCTTAACCTCAGATCCCATTTCTGAGCTTTCTAAGCACCTGTCTCAACAACTATAATGATATTACCTTGGAGCACTTGTTTAATCTTCACAGATCAAGAAATTAGAATTAAGCAACTGGCCTAAGATCAGTAGGGCTCAGTACCTTTATTTGTCTGATGTTAAGACCTAGGCTGTACCAATGGACTCCTTCCCACAACTAACCACCAACCACCCATTTACTCCCTTTCCTCCTTCCTTTCTTTCCTCCTCCTTCCCTTTCTTCTTCCCTCCTTCCTCCTCACCCGCCTTCCTTCCTTCCTTCCTTCCTTCCTTCCTTCCTTCCTTCCTTCCTTCTTCCTTCTTCCTTTCCAAACCAGGAATTGAACCCATGGTCACTCTACCACTGAGATACATCCTCAGCCCTTTTTATTTCTATTTTCAGACAGGGTCTCCCTAAATTGCCCAGGCCTTTTGAACATGCAGTCCTCCTGCCTCATCTCCCAAGCAGCTGGAATTAGATACATGTGCCATTGTGTCTTGCCTTGTTTCTCTTTCTGCCTTGCATTCTCTGAATCTATAAAATGCCTTGCCCATTTTTCTACATCCTATCTTTGTTCCTGTAGGAGGCCTTCTTGATGTATTGCTTTCCTAGGACAACTCTTCAAAAGTTTCTTTTTGTATTCCTGCCTAAATTCCCTTTGTCACCCCATTCCACACCACTTTTCATGATCCATACAAAATGACTATACATGGCACAGATGAGGGAAGAGGCCAGGGGAAGAATTAATTTTGTTTTCAGAGCTTAGTGTATGTTGTTCCAGGATCTCCTAGCTTTGATGATCTGGGTTGAGAAATCTGCTGAGACCTGAATTGGTTTCCCCCTGTATGTAATCTGAAACTTTTCTCTTGTGGCTTTTAAAATTCTATCCTTATTCTGTACGCTTGGCATTTACATTATAATGTGCCATGGTGTAGATCTGTTATAGTTTTGTACATTTAGTGTCCTGTGAGCCTCTTATATTTGATTATCCAATTCATTCTTCATATTTGGGAATTTTTCTGATATTATTTCATTGAAAAGATTGTGCATTCCTTTGGTTTGTATATGTATGCCTTCCTCTATCCTGATAATTCTTAGATTTGTTCTTTTCATGTTATCCCATAATTCTTGAATATTCTGCTCATGGATTCTTACCATCTTCATTGTGTGGTCAACTTTATTTTCAAGATTATATATTTTGTCTTCATTGTCTGAGGTTCTGTCTTCCAAGTGGTCTAGTCTTTAATGATGTTTTCTATTAAAGTTTTTATTTGGTTTATTGTTTCCTTCATTTTAAGGATTTCTTTTCTTTCTTTCTTTCTTTTTTAAGAGTCTGTCTCTTTCTTGAAGTAATCTTTTGCTACCTATATTTGCCCTCTTATCTCTTTGTTGGAATGATCAATTGTTGCCTATAATCGGTCTCATCTTATTTTGTGGTTTGCAGATCATTTTAATTATGTACATTCTGAATTCCTTCTCTTGACATTTCATTTACTGTGTTGTCAATGGATTCTATTATTGTAGCATCTTGGTTTGTTGGGGGCAGGTTCTTCCCTTGTTTTGTTGTTCATGTGTCTTCCTCTCTGGCAGTGCAGATCTGAGGTATTATAATTTTTATTCTGTAATCTTGTAGTGTCCCTGCAGGTTACCAATACCTCATCTCTGGTTTAACTAGGCCTGCAGGTACCTTGGTTATAGTCTTCCTTGTCCTGGCTGTTGTCTCTAGATGGAAGTGAACTGGGAGGGCCATGCATTGGTAGATGGGGGGCTGCAGTGCAGTCAGTCTTCTCTTCCACATATATGTGGTCAGTGTCCTCCTCCATGCATTGGTTGCCAGGGCCATCTCCTCTGCCTCCTCTGTGCGTCGGGCTGGGGTCCAGTTTTGAGTTTTAAGGAGCTGCTACAGATATGAATAGTTTACAAATTCTGTTAAAGCAGTAACAGTTTACAAATTCTGTTAAAACAGCAACAGTTAAGGGTCATTTGTAATTGGCACATCTGTGTAATTGGGTGTGAGCTATACCTAAAAACCAGTAGGTGTTGCCTTGTAGGTCAAATGTTTTTTCTTATTATATATAAACTGATAGATTTAATGATAATTGGCCTCATGCTGGGAACAAACTAGCGTGACTTTCTCTCTTTTTCCAATTTCACAGATAGAAGATTTGTTCATACTTAGGTCTTAGCAACCTCAGTGTACTTTTTTTTTGTGTGTATGTAAATGGAGTACCTTTTTACTTAAAGGAGGAACTTTATGGCTTCTCTTTGGCATGTCTGAATTGCCAGTAACACTCCTCTCACTCTATGGGGCCATGATAAAGTAAAATAAGGGTTATTTGAACACAAGAATTATGATGCTGAAATAGTCTGATAACTGAGATGGCTATTAAAGTATCAAGAGCACCAGCATATGTGAGAATTCACATTCACATAACTTGTATTACAATATGTTGTTAAAATTGTTCTGTTTTATTATTAGTTGTTATTCTCTTACTGTGCCCAATTTATAACTCACACTTTACAATGGGTATGTATGTATAGTAAAACAAAAACATAGTATATAGGTTTTCAGCTATCTGGTTTCAGGCATCTGTTTGGGTTCTTGCAATGTGCTCCCTATGGTTAAGAGGGAGACCTCTGTAACTGGTTATTTGCAGTATCTGAAAAGTCCTAGAACATGTGCTATTTCTTAGTGAGCATGAGGATGGGTCATGTCCTTGTTGATTCTTTGTTTTCATATGAATGCTCTTAACCCCAGCTAATAGAAACTTTGAGTGGACAGGACAGGATTTTGGTAAAGAAACAAAGTATTTGGAGTAACTCATGGATTTTACCAACAATTACTAAAGATTTATTTACTGACATTTTACTAACTGCCTGTCTTGCAAGATGTTTTGTTCGTTCTCAGATTATACAGGTTAGCATTTTATTCCTAACCAAAATTTGTGAGATTATACTACAAATGTCTGTTTTGATTCAGCTTTCTTTGGTATTTACATTTAATTGCATCCCCATGTAAAAGCAGAATGGAAATTGAGTGTTACCAGAAGAGTGGAAATTTGAATAGTCACAGAGATTAGAATGCTAAGTGGTTCCTCTATGGTTGCCTCTTAAGTTTTCAGTGTGAGTAGTTGGGAGGTTGATGTGTAAAATTCAAAGCCTTTTTTAGACAGTATAGTTTTTAGAGTTATGTCCTGTGTTTTGTGTACTCTTTCCAAACAAACAACAAAGCATTCATATGTGGTTGCAGGGTATGCCTACCTTTGTGTATTTATTTATTTATTTGCTACTGTGGATTCAACTCAGGGACTCTCAACCACTGAGCCACATCTCCAGCCCTATTTTGTATTTTATTTAGAGACAGAGTCTCACTGAGTTGCTTAGTGACTCACTTTTGCTGAAGCTGGCTTTGAATATTTGATCCTCCTGCTATAGCCTCCTGAGTTACTGGGATTACAGGTGTGTGCCACTGTACCTGGCCTGCCTTTATTTCTCTAAAAATAGTGTCATCTGGAAAACATCCTTCCCTCTGTTGAGGATTTTGGCTTTGCCTATTGCTTTATCTATTCAGATAAGAATCTGTTTTATGAACAGGCATTAGGGGCAGTCTATATTTGTAAAATCTTGCAGACCAGTACTTAGGAAACTGATAGTTGCCATTTTGAAATATTTATCAATTTTTTGTCTTGCCTCCCAGATGCTCCCAGGGCAGTTGCAATCTTCCATCTCAGGGGTAATACCTCCCAAATGAAGAATCTCAAACATTCTGAGTTCCTGAAGTCATTCTCTGCTGAGGCTTTACCTCACTTCTTCCTCCTTGCTAAGTTGATTAGTAGTTACTTGGAATGAGGGGGGAGACAAACCCTACCCTTGTGATACACCTAGGACTGTGTGTGTGTGTGTGTGTGTGT